TGTGTGTTTTTTATGTTTGTACGAAAGATAGACGCACACACAGCTGGGATCTCTGGCTTTGTTCTGGGTTTGCAAAGATTTTTTTGTTACCAGTGTGGGTGTATCCTACTGTGACAAGCTGCTTGGCTCAACTTGGTCGGTTGTAAACCCTGGAGTGTCCCGCAGGAATAGAGCCGCACTGTAAGCGGCTTTGAGCCAGTGTTCAACTCTTGACTTTGTTACTGATTTACAGACTGTTGTGAGAACCAGAAAAACAAAGTAGTAGTCACAAGGGGTCAGGGGGTTCCCGTCATTCGTCTGCCTCACAGAGACATCTTTTAAAAATCAAGTTTTAAAATATGATTTTTATTTAAAAGAGTTAAAAATACGGGTGCAATAGTAATTCAAGTACAAATCCAGAGAGAAATACTTCTGGGGTTTTTTTTGTTTTTTTTAAAGGAAGTGTTACATTGTTACTCATTCAAACAGAGATTGTTAAGTAGGCAGTAACTTTAGGCAGTACTCTCCGTACTTTTCAGAGATTATTATCATCTCTCATCTTTTGAGTCTTGTTTTGTTTTTTGTAGCAAACTGCACAGTAAAAAACAGATTCAAACAAGAATTTGTAAGATTAGCAGATGAGCTGCTATGGATGAGAAAATTGAAATGCTGCATAAATGAAAATGCCTTCCAGATGCAGAGACCTACTGCCATTCATCATAAACAGCCAGGCTTATAGCTCTTACTGTCCTCATTTGTCAAAATAACAATACCTTGGTTTTAATACCTATGACATAATCCTAAATGGGTTCAGTGTCATTTCTGATCAGTTATTTTTATAGAAAGCATTCTGCCTTAGTCATAGACCAGTAGGAAAAAAAAAACAAAAAACAAATGCCACAGTAGGAACTTAATACAAGAAGAGTCAGCACATCTTTCATGGCAAATTTTTTTTTCAGTGCTTCTGTTTATTTATGATGATAAACTCTGTCAACCACAGTATTAAAACTGCCAGTTGGACAAAAATTTCTCAATAAATTCACTTGGCCAAACAGTTTTCTTCTAAATATTCTTCCGTGACATGTTAGCATGCTAGAATAGTCCACCGTTTTGCTAGCAGTGAGCCATCTTGTCAGTCAGTATTTTTTATTTCATAGTGTCACTTAAAATGTCATCTTTTCAACACCCTTTTCTCTTTTTTGTGTGTACAAAGTCTGCAGAGGTTTTCAAGGTACCTCAGAATTACACTGATAACCTCTGTGCTGAGCCTGGAGCACTTACCTGTCTATGGTCATGCCAATGCACCTCTGGCTGGTGTTACTGTAGTTTGTTCTATAACTCACAAGAACTGCTGTAATTGTGTTGCCAAAGATTTTTGCCTGTTCTCTTACTCTGCTTGTAAATTTCCCTGTTAACATCAATGTGATGTTAACAGATCAATTCATAACCACATTCATCCAAGTGAGTTAACCGGAGATCACAAATTTAAGTGTCAAAGATTTTGTAAGATTTATCTCACTGACCACAGATTCATTTCAATATATCACACAGAAGTTTCTAGTTTGGAGTTGCGTATTTCAGTATAGCCATTATAAAGGTCATGATATTGATTGCTCGTAAAGGTCTGCACTTTAAATCACTTATTGTTTCCACTAGTGGTACATAAGTGGCAAAAGCTTGTGATTTCAGTTGTTTCGTTTCCTTTTTTTTTTTTTTTTTTTAAACTGTCGACTGGGTGTTGAAACCTTGCAAAATGGCAAACATAAATTTCAATGAAGTTCTAAAAAGTCTTCAAAAAATTATACATAAAATAATCAAAGTTGTCAAAAAGACACCTTTGAGGTTCATCTCCCTAGCTGTGCTGGGAGCTTTTTTCGTTTTTAGTGTGTTGCTTCCCCTTTCCACCTGCTAACCAGCCACTGGCAGCTCTGTTGTGACAACAGTGGAATCTTTTAGGAACCTTGTAATAGCTTTGCTTGTTAGTAGGAGGTTTAACGCTCTAAATTTGGCGGTCTGGAGGGCTGCTAATGTCTTGGAAGAGTGATTGATAGAAGATCATTATGATAACCAGCTTCTCCAGACTAAGCTTGGCCTGGCAGTTTCCTATCATCTTGGTCCAAATGAGTGGGTCATATGTAATTTTTTTTCTTCATTCTTGATCTATTTAGTTTTTAACTATTTATGAATTGAGGAACTTTTTAAAAAAGTTTTTCACCCAAAACTTTCTTAAGCTGTTACCACAGGAACTTGATTTTAAAGCCTTAAAAGAATATACACCAGACAGGGTGTCATTATGTATGATTGGATATATTAAATATTTGACTAAAATGACACAAATTTAAGATATTTGCCTAAATTACTGAGCCTAGCATGTGTTTATGTGAACGACAGAGGTTTTCCTTCTAAATTTAATGAGCTTCAAAGTTTATAAAGCTGTGGACATAAGTTCTTTGAATGACAACAGCTGTTCTGTAGCTCTAACAGGTTCCAGATGTTATAATTGTGCCCAGTGATGGAGTATAATTATAGTACCTCTCCTATTTAGTATTTTTTTCCTTTCCTGCTTCCCCAGACATCAGTCAATACCTATAGTGAACCTCATAGTTGGTTTACAATAACAAGACTGCTTTTGTGTGAATCTAAAGCTGCATACAATTATGTTAGTATGGTATTATTATAACATTTTAAGATAGCCATAGCAACTGGCATCTGTTGTGACATTTACTTATTTTAAGTGTATTATGTGTTTATATGTTGTAAGTGAATAGTTTACATTTCTAAGTCTTAAAAATCAAAAACAATTTTAACTTCATTAGATCGGTGCTGTCCTGTTGAAGATATTGTCTCACACCCAGCATTGGCAACTAGCATTCTTCACCCTGATTGTAGATATTCACAAAAAGACAACTGGGTAACAAGACAACTCAGTGTCAGTTATCGATCACTTCAGTTATTCTCCTTTATCCAGTTTTACTTTAATACTGAATTAGGGCCCCTCTTGGTGCTCAAAAAAATTCCTTTGGCATCTGCAAAAGAGTTTCTAATAATTATGATGGATTAGACTGCAGTTCATTGTACCTGTGCACTGCAATGGTTTTGCAGATGCTGTAGATGTGACATGCATTAATAATTACCCATATGGAAAAGATATATATAAATCTTATAAAGTTTGTATCTGTCTTGTGTGAAACTTGTATGAAAAGCATACAAGAGTGAAAACAGATATAAGATCCCTTGAAAAATTATATAATGAAACTTGTATGTTTTGGATACTTACTAAAACAATGTATGAAAGTAATGAGAAAGTGGCCACTTTCATGAGTAATCACATATAAGTTTTTACGATTTCTTTTCCATATGGGTAAGAGCAGCAGACAAAAATCAATGTTCAGCTCGAATCACTTTTGCTTGATGCTAAACCCTCTACTTCATATTCTTGATATATTAATATTAACATAGTTTTATACATAGGTATAATTCTCTAGAATTTAAATTAAACTTAGAAAAGTACAAAACTCTGACTTCCTGTCTCTTGGAACTGAACTGTGATTGTATTTAACATAAACATTTTACAAACATGGTGTCTAAAGGGATACATAGACTGGATGGCATCATCCTGGTTCTCACCAACACTGACAGGAATCTTGGCCAGGATTTATCCTTTACTGCTTACACTAAACAAATATCTCTCATCTTCATAACTAGAAACTGAAATGGGAGACATGCTGAAAGTGATACTGAAAAATTAGTTAATGCAATTGTTACTTGTAGACTGGACTATTGTAATTTAACAGGCTGTTAAAGAACCATGAAAAGCCTGCAGTTGATCCAAGACATGGCAACAAAAGTACAAACAATGACTAGAAAGAGAGCTTATAGGCTGATAGGTGTGCATTAATAGGCAAGCCTGCACTTAAAATGTCACAGAACAACTGATCAAGTACTACAGTCTAACAGAGGGAGGTGAAGTCTATGAAAGGTCCTGCTGTCATCTGATAAACATTCAGTACCCAGCTTAAATACATTACACTATGTGCTATATTCAAAAATAGGCCTCTAATTTAAGAGTACTTAGTAACAATAAGAGTTTGTTAGCAGTATAAATGTGAGTCATAAAAACATTTAAATAAATATGGTTGGTGTTAAAGGACTGAAATGAAAAGACTTTACACAAAGGTTTACACAAAAACATAATAATGAGGCTACACTTAAAAATCAATCTGGTGCTCTTGGGTAAATCAATTTTCCCTCATTTGTTTAGGATGCAGAAATGAAAGGTATCTAACTATATATAGGGCAAATGCATATTACACTATCTCTACACCAGCAGTCCCCAACTCCTGGGCCATGGACCGGTACCGGTCTGTGAGTCGTTTGGTACCAGGCCGCGAAAGTTGAGGCTCGGATGTGAAATTTATGGTTTTCAGGGTTTTCATCGTTAACTCTTTTCCCATGTTGTAGTTGTGTTATTTTGCAAGAAATATTTATGCGTTACCATAGAGACCAGAGAGCATTAAGGGGCAGAGAGGAGGACGTTACTCTCAAAGTTGTTAGCACATTTCAAGAGGATGCTGCTAATAAATTTACACAATGACACAATGAATTTGTGTTTATTATTATATTTACAAAATACCAAAGTTTTTGTCTTGGTCGTATCATTTTATTTTGTTGTATTTATCCACAACACCTTAAAGGCCGGTCCGTGAAAATATTGTCTGACATTAAACCGGACCGTGGCATAAAAAAAGATTGGGGAACGCTGCTCTACACCACCCAGCCATTTTTGTCCTTTTAGTATTAGCATGGACGCATTTGCTTTCACAATGCATTACAACTGTTGACACATCCCTGACCTAACCTTGACCTGTATTTCTAATGGATAGGTGCACAATCAAATTTTGCTGAGGACTAATCATTTTGAGACAATAGTTTTATGACTGTTTGCAAAAGACAAAAAATCTTATTTAAAAATATGTTTATATTTAAATCAATTCAATAGCAAATTCCTTTCTGTCTTTCAGGACGGACAGAGGGCAGCCTTGTGTATGGACTCTGAGCAGGCCAGATGGAAACAGAAGAGAAGAGACATGAGAAGGAAGAAAGTTTGATATTAGAGCAATTTGGCACATCTCACAACATCCCTCATAAACTCCAGAATGGAGGCCAGTTTTCAGAGGGAAATTCTCTGCAGATCACTGGGGATAAAAACTGGAACCATTATAAACCCAGCACTGATGCCAACACTTTAAAAAGGCACAGGGAGAACTGCAACAACCCTGCTTCAGAACAAGGGTTGCTGGATCAAGGATCCTACATCATGAATGGAGAACTGATGAATGGAGAGTTAAAGCATGCACTTACTGAACAGTCCTTATTGGTCCATCAGTCCAAGAAAACAAAAATAGATTCTGAGATTAAAGGAAAGGATGACATAAATTCAGATTTATTGGAAAAGTTTCCTGAACTGACAACAACAAATGAATTTGGATGCAATTCCCAAACGTCAGATATTAAGTTCGATAGCAGGAACTGCAATTTTCGTAACAGAGATATTTTCTGTGTGCCACGAAATAAACAAGTTCCGAATGGTGCTGTATCATCTCCCTCAACCATAGAAAGCACCCCAGGTGATTTGTTAGAGAAAACTTTGTCTCAGTATTATCCTGAGCAAGTCTCAATTGCACCACAAACATCTGGGTCACAATTAGATGCTGTCAATAATTCACTGCCTGATAAACTGTCCAGTGAAGGTGCTCAACTTCCCCCTATGACCTCAGGATTGCCCAATTCAGCACAGATGCCTGGCTCACAGCAACAGCAGGCTCAGGCATCTGGAAATACTGAAGGAGGCAACAATTATAACTCTGTCAACTATGTACTAAATGGATACTCCAATAATTTTGGAGCAGACGACCAGCAGACACAACAACATCAGCAGTCAACATCATCTTATTCTGGTGAGGAACTGGCTCTGGGACAGCTGTCAGGCATGATCCTGTCAACAAATAATGCCAAAATCCCACAACAGCATCCAAATGGTGCGCAGTGTTATCAGGATGACACACGTCATCAAGGTGTATATGTAAAAGCCCACCAGGAGTTTAACGGCAGTTCCTTTCCAAACTGCAATAGTTCCCTACAGCCAGCAGAGGCAGAATACGAGTCCTTTCCCAGTTCTGGGACACAGAAACTGGGGCATGGTGAGGAAAACACGTCTAGTCAGCATCTGCAGCATGGCACTGATAGGGATCGCCACTATGGGATTCAAACCCAGAACTTTCAAGAAAATGCTGTAAACCCACTTAGAGCTGAGAGTCAGGGACCCATGGGATCCAGACTCCAACAGTTACACCACACTGGTATAGAAAACGGGATGGAAAACACGTCTCAGCAGAGAGCCAATTTATCTTGTTCTACCCCTAACCAGAGAGGCTGGAGAGAACTGAATTCTTCACATTCCCAACAGCCACCAACAAGTGGCCCATCATCTCAGGCACAAGAGCAGGATCTGTGGAGGAACTTCTCTACTAAGTCTATGTCAGAACAGCAGACAGCTAACCCCCCGGATCATGACCAGATGTTTGAGCCAAACCCAATGCAAAGATTTCAGACACAGAGAGTTTTCTCTGATGGCAGCCAGGGGTCTAACTTCCAGAAGAAACAGCAGGATTATCTGCCAATGCAAACGCATTGTGCTTCAGCTCAGCACAACACTGCCTCTGAGTGGCAGCAATCAAATTCTGAAGGAGCTCAAATGCAGCCGTCTTTAGCCCAGAAAATGCCAGAGCAGCAAAACTTCACTCAAAATCAACAAGTTGACAGTCGCTGCCAATCCCAGATGCAGTCAGAGCGCTTATGTGAGGACAATGACCTCCAGGAAATATTGTCACCTGGGTTTTTGGCAACACAGCAACAACAGCACTGTCAGCTCCAACGGCCAATGTCCCAGCCACCACAATTCGAAGCGCAGCAACTAAAGTCTCCCAGTTACAGACCTCACAGTCAGCCTCAGCCAGGTCAGCAGCTGCTTCAATCCAATCAGCCTTTTGGAAATGGTCCTGCTCAATCCAGCAACCAACACGTCCAGCAAAATGACCATGCAACATTTAGTAATATTAACACAGTAGAGATGTCACAACATCAAAGGCAGTATCCACCAAACTCAGGCAGCACTAACCTCAAGCAATTTCAACCACAGCAGCCTAAAAGCCACTGCCACCAACCCAACCACGTGGACTTTCCCCCAAACTCCACACAGTCACAACCTCATTTACCACAAGGTGCTTTAAGCCAACAGGTCACAAAACAAATGTATCCCAAAGCTGAACAGCAGCTGAAGACATCTTGCACTCAGTTCCAAAGGGGACCTCAACTACCTCTGGGACCGGCAGGTCCCCACGTAGACTTTCAGAGGCATGCAGCCCTACGTATGCACCTGTTACAAAAGCAAGAACGCCAGGGCTCCCCTCAAACCCCTCAGAACTCTAGTGACCCTAAACATATCCAGAGAGCTGTGAAAATGGAAAATGGACCCAGACTTGAAATATCTGGGTTACAGAACCAGGAGCATCAGATACACATGCGAGAGGCAGGTAGAATACAAATTAAGCAGGAAAACCAACAATCTCTGTGTGAGCAAAGTAAGAAGCAGGCAAGTATCATAGCCTCTATGGAACAAAGCCTGAGACAATACCAGCTTTCACCTGTGTTTGAGAAAAAATCCATTGTCATCAATGCATTGAATAAAGTCAAAGTAGAATCTTCTGGGCCTGTCACAATCCTGTCAACCAAAACTGATGTGAATGGAGTAGAATCATCAGCACTTGCCTCATCCACTGAAGTTCTTAAAAAAACACCTGATTCCACCCCTAAGAAGGAACAACTTCTACAAAGTTTTATGGATTCTCCTGTGAAGCTGTTGAATACCCCTATAAAGAATCTTTTAGACACCCCAATGAAAACACAGTATGATATTGCATCCTGTCACTGTGTTGGTAAGTCTCTTAAGTTCAGCCTAAAACAGGATGGGCCAGTTGTATTGTATATATTAATATGTTTTGCTTTATGACTAGAACAAATAAGTGAGAAGGATGAAGGCCCATACTACACTCACTTGGGGGCAGCACCAAGCATTGCTGGCATACGGGAAATGATGGAAAAAAGGTTAACAAAAATCTGAAGTGGAATAATATGACTGTTACATAGCTACAATGTACAGTTTTACCTGTGTTAATTTAATTGCTTTTATTCTGCTTTAAAGGTCTGGCCTAACAGGGCGCGCCATCAGAATTGAGAAAGTAATATACACCGGGAAGGAAGGAAAAAGTACACAAGGATGCCCCATAGCCAAATGGGTACAAATATTTTTTCTATACTCCCCCTGAGCCTTCCCTTAAATATCTTTGTGTGCACATATTCCCATACTTTTCATCATTTCAGGTGATTCGTCGATCCGGTGAAGAAGAAAAGCTATTGGTTTTGGTGCGGGAACGCCCTGGCCACAGATGTGCAACAACCTGCATCATTGTTGTAATTCTAGTTTGGGAAGGGATTCTGCCAAGTCTAGCTGACCGCCTCTACCTCGAGCTAAGTGAAACTCTAACAAAACATGGAACCCTCACCCAGAGACGCTGTGCTCTCAATGAGGAGTAAGTGACACCACTGTGTAAATCACATTTAGCCACTCAGACTTTATCTAATATTTGCTATCACATATTTATATAATATAAAAACTGTATCTTAAGGATCTCCTTGCCAGTGCCAAAATATTCCACCATTCTCTAAACCAAACAGTTTTCAGTTTGTTTGTTTTTTTGCGTCCATGGAAAATATAGTTAATGCCTTTGCTTTTATGTATTTCTGTTCATTACTTTTTGTTTTTTTGCTTCAAGTCCAGTTCCCCCTTTGATCATGAGATTATCATTCTGACTATCACAGTCCTAATTTTTGCTCTGCCCTTGCAGGAGGACATGTGCATGCCAGGGATTAGATCCTGAAGCCTGTGGAGCATCATTCTCCTTTGGCTGTTCCTGGAGCATGTACTACAATGGCTGCAAGTTTGCCCGGAGCAAAGTCCCAAGAAAATTCAAGTTACTTGGAGATGATGTGAAGGAGGTACTTTTTGAAGTTTAAAATATTATTCACATTGTGTTTACCTTGATTAAGCTGACATGCTATTCATCTTAATGCTTACATTTTTCCATTTAGGAAGAGAGAGTGGAGAGCAACTTTCAAAATCTGGCAACTTTACTGGCTCCCTTGTATAAAACTATGGCACCTGAAGCTTATGGAAACCAGGTGAATATCTGGACATATTTTTCTTTCTTTCTTGAACTAAAATAAAAAATTAAAATACAGTTTCTTATTACCTGGTAAAACCTAAACCAATTAACATTTACATACTGCACATATATTTATATGTGGCTAATGCAAATTGCAAACAGGGAAGTTTTTGGAGAATTTTATCCACCAGAGGGGATTTTAAATCAAAGAATCAAGATGTGAAGGCTTTTCACTTTAATTCTGGGAGTTTCTTAAAAATGACACTGAAACTTTTTCAAAATTACAGCCATTTTGGTACAGTGCTTTATTCTCTAAAGCTCAAAAGTACGAAAAAAAGCCCAACTACATATTTTTTTTAATAAAATCTATTGCTTTCAATGACAGCCTAAAGTCAACTCTTTTATCACACCTAGATTGTTTGATTTAAGATCAGTGTTTGTGGTGTACAGAGGCAAAGAAAACCTGTGTCCTTGTCCAAATTTTTATAGACCTTTCTTACAAGAAAGCTGTATATTACTGTTAAGCAGCCAAGATTCAATCTTGTTCTCTGGCATGTATGAAAATGCTAGATCAATGCTGCAAGTGCATAACTTAGGCCTGTTTATCACTGTAAACAGTCATTGTAAAGTGAGTGGGTTACTAAAACCCAAGAGGCAATACGAGTGAAGATCTTTATCCTATGATGGAACATTTCTATCTCGATGGTGTCATTTCTTCTACAATGAAAATGTCCTCATTTATAGGGTAAGAGAAATCCCTAAATGTAAAATGATGTGCACCATAAATTATACTTTTATAGTCAGCTGATCTCACCCTAGTTGAACACCCATGGAAAAGCCGAGGGGAATCATGTGGTCTATATTAAAAAACATAAAATAAAGGAACTGTAAAAATTGTCTTCGTGTAAACAGTTTTGAAGAATTGTCATAAGTGATTTATGCTACCCTAGTAGAACACCTTATGTTGGCTTATCATTTTGTTGTTTTTTGTAGTGACCTTCACAAACTTTTAGGCAGCTTATTTAAATTAACTTCTTTTTGTTCCTGAACACAGGTGGAACATGAACATAGGGCTTTGGATTGCCGTCTTGGGCTCAAGGATGGCCGTCCTTTCTCTGGGGTTACTGCTTGTATGGATTTCTGCGCCCATGCTCATAGAGACCTCCACAACATGCAGGGTGGCAGCACTGTGGTAAGGATAAAAAAGGGAAACACATTTTTCTAAGTACTTTAGAAAAATGCCGGTTGAATATATTTGCATAAATTCAACCTGCAAAGCCATTTAATTCAGATAGTAATTCTTTTATTTTTTTTCAGGTGTGTACATTAACGAGGGAGGATAACAGAGGGATTGGAAAGATTCCAGAGGATGAGCAGCTTCATGTCTTACCTCTTTATAAAGCTTCCAACACTGATGAATTTGGAAGTGAGGAAGGTCAACAAGAAAAAATAAAGTCAGGGGCTATCCAAGTTCTCAGTGTTTTCCGCCGCCAGGTGCGCATGCTTGCAGAGCCTGCTAAATCTTGCCGACAAAAAAAGCTGGATGCTAAGAAAGCAGCTGCCAACAAGAATGCCATGCTGGAAAGCTCCAACGATAAAGGAGAGAAGGCCAAATCAAAAGCTGGCACTTTTGAGAATTCTACTCAGAGCAATCCAATGGCAGGTAGGGTAACAAATTATTTTCTCTTCATAGGTATCCATTGATTTCTCTGAACTGAGCGGTTTCTGCCATATTTCAGGCTTGCTTCCAGAACAAAATGAGGTGTGCATCAGAAGTTAGTGAGGGTGCTCTATGCCTATACAGCTTACCAGGGCTGTATAGGTTGGACAGGTTTTACCGTTGGAAAAACATGAAATGTATTCTAAAAAAAAAAAAAAAAAAGCATTACATCTTTATTGATTTATGTAGATATATAACTTTTCATTAATGGTACAGTGTAGGTTGTCAAATGTGTCTTTGTGGGGGAAAGCGTTAAACATGTTTTTTCTTTGTAGCAACATATTGTTGGAACACTAAATTGAACACCAAAAGACCCACAAATAATGATTTTACAAAAGGTGACACAATGGATTTTGTTTTCCAGGACTTATTCCAGGTGCTGTAGGAGCAACCCGTCAATCATGTCAGCCACAACACCCCCTAGGGGTCCATCAGCAGCAGCAACACCACCAGAGCATTCTCCCTCCTTATCCTGGCTCAACAAATGCTGCTTTCTCCAGGTTTCCCAACCATAATGGGTCTTTTCCAAGCACTTCAAAGCCAGGAAGTATATATCCCCATCAGCCATCATCTTCCAGCCCTTATCCTTCCCCACTCCATGCATCAAACTCATACATGAATGCATCCAATCGTCCATACCTCGGTTATCAATGTAATGGAGGAATTCCCTTTGACAACTACAATCCATATTATCCCCCAAACCCAAAGCACTTAGAAATGTATCGACAACAACGGCCGACACTTTACTCAGAGCAGCAGTATGGTATACGGCGTTATGAGGTCAATTACCCACCAAGATATGGTGAGCCAGGCTTACAGGTCAATGGTTATAATGCCAGCAGCATTAGACCAGTTCCTCCCATGCGACCTTATGGACCTTATACTCCTAATAGCGCCTCAGATCCCCGGTTTCTGGACCCCCTCTCAAGAGCATCCTCAGCCCATGCAGGCGTAGATTACAAAACTGCTATGAGCAAAGGCAATCGGTTTGGAGAATGCCCAAATCCATATCTGCCCCAGAACCCTCAAATGCTGTCCCCAGGCCAAGATCCTTTCCATTTGCAAATCAAAGCAGAGATGGGTATGCCTGGTCCACAAATGCTTTCTGCTCAGTCTGGCAGTATGTGTTTAAACCCTGAAACACAGTCAGGGTTAAGGTTGCCAAATGGAAGCCTCATGGGTTCCAGTATCAAGCTGGAGCCTGGAACACCACAGACACCCACCACGCCGCAAAAGCCAGAGCTGTGGTCAGACAACGAGCACAATTTCTTAGACCCTGATATTGGTGGAGTGGCTGTGGCACCTAGCCATGGCTCTGTCCTTATTGAGTGTGCAAAACGGGAGCTCCATGCGACAACGCCCCTTAAAAATCCAGATCGCACCCACCCAACCCGTATTTCCTTAGTGTTCTACCAGCACAAAAATTTGAATGAAGCCAAGCATGGTTTGGCACTGTGGGAAGCAAAGATGGCAGAAAAGGCTAGAGAGAAAGAAGAAGAAGCAGAGAGGAATGGCGGTGAGGGGACTCCTAGCAAGACCAGCAAAAAGGGGCCTAAACGTGAGCATTTAGAGTCATCAGAGACCACAGGGGAGCCTCCTTACAAACGTTATATCAAGGCACTAATGGAGGGATCTTTGTCATGCACAACAAACACGTATGTCAGTACATCTCCGTACGCCTTCACCAAGGTTACAGGGCCTTACAGCCAGCTTGCGTAGAAAACACTCATTAAGAAGACCCTTGAAGGTGCTATGACAAACAAGACCACAGGCACCAATGCCCTCCCATCACCCTTTTGTTGTAAAAGGAACCTGTGATTAGATGAGCTACAAATCACCTTTCACCTCTTTAACAATCAAGCTTTACCCGTTTACCCTACAAAGGTTGTATTTATTCTTCTTTGGTAACTTTTGCAAGATACAAACTCTCTGGTGCTTTTACTCTGATACACACGGATCTATTTTAGCTGTAAAGAGTGAGTTTTGGTGGTTTTTATTTTTCTTTCAAAGTTTTTTGGAGATGTAATCTTGGCATAAAACACTGACTTTTTGTAAATGACAACATTCACGGTGCTAAAAAATTATGCTTATTACCTTTTATTTTAATTCAAATGCCTTTACACTAACTGCACAGATAAATGTCAGCGGGACACCGGAAATATCATGCCAACATACAAAATGCTTTTTGAAAAGCCAGTGTTTTTTAAAACACATTTGGTAATGATAGTTGAAGCTGAAAAAAGTTTTGGTAGTACCTTTAAATTATAAGATCTGGTAAAAGCATATGTCTGCATTGAAAGCATGTCATTTCTAAGCAACACATTGTGACATTCATGAATTTGTAAGGACTTGGGGGTTGTATGAACAATCCATAAAGGTGTCCATGCAAAAGTTTTAACAGTTTTATCAATTGCTGGTGCTTCTTTCACTTTCCTATGTCATTTTTACTGTAAATTGAGCCATTCTTTTATGGTGCATTTTTGAAAGAAAAAAAAAAAACAGAGAAAGATCTCGGTTTTTCTGGTTCTTTTTCCAGGGTTCCTTTGTTTATCAATTTTTTTTTTTAAACGTTCCTTACAACAGGTTAATTGAACACACCTGGTGATTGTGAATATTACATGTAGATTTTTCTGTGGTGCTTAGTAAATGTGCTTTTTAAACACTGAGAAACATGATACTGGGTAAGCTCAGTGTCAGTTTCAGAGGGCAGCTGGCTTGCTGTGTGGTCTTTACTTATTGTAATCTAACTGTAAGATAAACAGGTGAGATTTGTACAGTAAATTAATATTCCTTTTGGAATTCCTGTTAGAGATTTTTTGTTGCAAAGAATGCTAACAGCCTGTTTCACTGTATTTCTTTGGGTTTCAAATGAATCTATTCATAAGGTGCTACTCAACCTACTAGAAACATAAAATGTGAGACTCTTTGGGAGGTGAGAAGGCTTTTAAATAGTGTACAGTACAAACCTGTCATATACCTCAAACATTTGGCAATAGGATTATAACATCTTTTTCTTTCTTTATTCGTTTATTATTTTCAAAATGTTGATCACGCTTAAAATTCAGGCCACCAAAAGGCATAAAAGTTCATTTCTTACTTTCTTATGAATCTGCAAGAAAGTATTACTTGAACTTGAATCTTTAATATTACTGCAAAAATCAGGGACATTTTCAATTAATTTTGTGTACATCTGCATTGCCTGTATTAATGTGGTTGTTTTTTTTTTTTCATATTCAGGGACTTGCCATTGCATCCTGAATCCCAATATGGTTCTTGTTTGTTATATTTCACACAAAATTATTTTGTGTGGAAAAATATACTTTCCTGCAGTTTTGTACGTATATTTTAGCAAGGAGAATGGAGGTAATAGTAATCTGAACATATATGCACTGAGCTGACTAAAGGGAATGATATTGACTTTAAAAAAACAACAAAAAAAAAAACAACAAAAAGCAATTTTTTGTTTATGTTACGAAGCAAGACCAGAGCAGTGATTAAAATAGTTGCACATCTTTGTGCCTGTGTATACATTTATTTATAACCACTAAGCAACTGTACAATGACTTCTTCCCAATCTATTTGATTGAATTAATGTAATTAAATTAATGACAGTCATGCTAAAGCAACAACTCACCCCACTTTTCAATATTCATTTTCTTAAAGCACTTCATTTCTTTTTCAGGAAAAAAAAATGTAATGTAGAATTTCAAAACGTTTTATTTAAACAGATTGTTTATGTGTTAAAAAAAATAAATTATGTCACAATGTACATACCAAGAATTTGTATTTCAGGAGTATAACTCATTCTTCAATGTTCATGTTGGTTCTTTTTGTTTGTCAATTCTACCATAGTTCGTCCTTTGAGACCCTTTCCCAAGTTAAAATGATTTTGGTTAGATAATCCAGAAAGTTTTTTGTAAATATTACACTCACTGTCGCTGCAATGGTTACAGTTATAGTATCCCCATAGTTCAGTCAGTAGTTCTAGTTTTTTTTTTTAATCTGTTCTGTAAAAATAATCATATAGAAATGTTAAATTTCATTGTACAGTACCCAGCTACAGTAGCAGGTCGTTGTTGAGAGAGCCAAGGTGTAGTAAGAAATAGCGGGTTAAAAAGCATAGCCATACTTGAAGATGCTTCAGAGTGATTCTGAGTGAGTCAACATTACTTGAATGATTTTCTGGGCTTAGCTAGTATGCTCATCTCAAAGGTTAAGCCAGCAGTTCATACACACTTGGTCTTTTTGCAGTTAGACACTAAAAGGTATAAAAAAAAAAAGTGCAACTTTTTGCCTGTAATTTTACTTTTTTAAAGCTTCCCTAGTTCTCTTGAAGTTTGGTATGCTACAAAAGAAAAAAGAAAATCAAATTGAGGATGGGTATTAATACTGTAAGTATTGTAATGTACTGAATGCAGTTTATTTGAAAGCTGTTTATTATATCATTCCTGATGTTGCTGATATGTGGGTGTTTTTTTAAATAAAATTTATATTTATTTAAAGCACTTTTATTTGTTACTTCCAAGTTAATCACAATATCTAAATTCTGTGTTTTATCCACAAGTTGAAATTTGTGATGTGAACTTATAAAACACACATAATGTTTAAGATTTTCCTTTTAATTTACACAAACGTTTACTTGTTACATATAAAGTGTGTGGTTCTGTATCTGCAAGAACAATTACATTTGTACAGGAAATTAGAGGACTATATAAATATAAACTAGACATGGCCACAACAGTCCTGGAATACAAATACAGCATGATTCACAATCATAAAAAAGGAGTCCTTTTTCCCCCATGACAAATAATAATTGGCATACTAGCAAAAAATTCAAACACGTGTCACTTGTGGCACCATAAATCAGCCCCGACTTCAAGTCTGGTACTTTAGCACAATTCTTCACTTGGTGTGTTTCTTTTATTCAACAAATAACAGAGTGTCGATGGCTCTCTTTTAAATGGCTCCATACAAAATAAGATTGCAGAAGAATCCCTCATTAGGTGTTCAGATGTTTTGACTGTATCCATGCTGTTTTGGGAGTGTCAGACAAAATGCCACTTTTCCACTGTGCAAGAAGAGGTTTAGAATGGCAAAGAATTATTTAAAATGTATCTCTTTTATTTTTTTAATTGAACAACTGTTGCAAAGCAATTTCCCTGTGTGGAAATCCAAGTATGATTCTTGGAATACGTTCTTCTCTCTCACTTTTATTTATTCATCGATTAATTTATGTAGCTAGAAATATATTAATAAGTCTTTTTTTTTTTACTTACCCTCTGGAGACACAGGATGTGCGCTGCCAAATGCAGGAGCCTGGAGAATGAAAATATAAAAATAAACCTACCACACTTACTCATCGTGTAGCTTTATATCTTACTGCTGCAATGGCTACCAATAGTGTGAAACAAGAACTAGTAAAGTTCTTACCGACTGAACTACTTCTCTGGCCTCATCAGTGGTACATCTCCAAGGGCTATCACAACATAACGTGTTTTTGCTGAAGAAAAAAGCAAAGAGTAGTGCTCATTATACTTTCATAGCCAGTTACACCTTTACATCATATGCAAACACATAAAGCAGGAGTTTTGTCTTCAACTAACTTACCAGTCAATTCCTCCAGTATTTTTTTGCTTCTGTACTAGTGCCCTCCAGTGCTCGTGGGTGGACTTAATGATCTCAACTGCAAAGTCCTATCAACAGAGATAGAGACTATTTTGTTTTTTGCTGCCTCTTTCGCTAACTGCATGGACTGCAACTAGTAGCAGACTGTCATGTCATATGATTGTTACAAAGGTAGTAAGTACCTTGTCTTTGAACTCCCCATTGAATCCAAATTTGTTTTCAGGCTTTCCATCCGGCACCTTATATTTCCTAAACCACTCAACAGTGGCCTCTAAATGACCGGGTCGGTTCTTGCGGACATCCTCTATATCTGCAGAAAAAACACATTCAATAACATGAATTTGGGAACTAAATTGTGCAGCAAATATTCAGTGAGAAAATTTACAGTTAGCAGTTTCTAAGATTATAATTTATGACACAATGTAGCTATACAACACTAATACAACAACAGGATTCAAGTTAAAATGAATGCAGGGTTAACAATATTTAGAACATGCTGTATGAGGTTAAGAAATGCATTAAACATGTTGGCTAGGGTACAGTGTGTTTTGGAAAGACACGTTGAATATAAACACAGCAATGTTTACAGCAAAACCTCCACAGGGTACAGACTTAACTACAGAGTGCAAGTCTGCATTTCTCCCATGATGTCTGTGTTGGATAAACAATCAACTGAATCTGAAATGGGCAGGTACATTAGTATCTCGCTCCTGGTACGTGGGCAAATCTGACAAGTAGTGCATACTGGCTGCATAGCTAACCTTAAACAGCTCTACATGTGCTTAATCTTCTTGTATAGAATAAGCAGATGAAAATGAAATGGTATTTTTGAATCAGGGTAGAGAGCAGATCACTTTATCATTTTGAATCTGCCTTAATCTTTCTGCTGCCATGAAACAGTAAAATAATTACTAATAATCACTAATGTACGTTAAATTAATTACATGTTACCAGTTCTTGACTTTCATTAGTTTAAAACACTCACTATTTAGATTTTTGGCATCAGGGTCTTCAGCATTGATAGCTATGACCTTCCAGTCCATTTCTCCTTCATCAATCATGGCCAAGATGCCAAGCACTTTTACTTGGATAACCTGACCAGTAGAGCACACCTGAAGAACCAAACAACACATAATAAATCATCAATTAATAAAAAGCAATACTACATAAATTGCACATGTATATACACTCACTGACCACATCATTAGGTGCACCTGTTCACCTAACTGATAGCACAAATATCTAAGACTCATGATTCATTAGATATGACTTGCAAGCAATCCTAGAAAGGGGTACCTAATAGAATGTCTCTAATAAAATCAATGTACAGATTTAAGCTGTATTACCTGGGTGCCTATGTCACAAACATCAATGGGGTCATTGTCACCACAGCAATTAGTTTCTTTGTCTTTCTGGCCCGGGTCTTCCCACGTCTTCAGTTCAAGCATGTAAGAAAACAATCATGCAGGTATTTGTAAAATATAATTATTGGAATATATTTAAATACAACAAAATGAACTGCAGTACTGTTATTTTGAAACAGATATGATGAAAATGAAGAAGGAGGAGGCTTATCTCATACTGTGCTTTTCCTCACCTGTGGAAGTGCCCCATAATTCCAAATGTAACCTTTATGGGGAAATATGTTGGCAACATAGCGGAGCTTTCCTTTCTTTTCATCCTGCTTGATCGGATTCAGCGGTTCCTTTATCGCAATCTGGGAATTGAAGCAATTATGAAGGTGTGTGTTTTTATGTGCATGTTTGTTGTTTTTCCACTGTTGAAGCGCAGCTGAAGAAATTAGGTAAATAACTTTCACTTCTTAAATGTCAGGAACTCCCCAAAATTCACTTTCATGCTTAGCTAGCTAGCTAAATGAAAACAGCTTCAGGGCACTGCTATTC